ACAAAATGTTTTATCCAAGTTAAATGTGAATACAGCTGAGATGCTGCCAGATGTTAACTGATTTGCCTCTGATTGTTTTGTGCACTTTCCTTGTTATCTTACCTTGGTTATGCATGAACTAATAATTCTAAACGCTAAATGCATCACAAGAGTTAATGGGATTAGTTTTGTCAGAAATGTTTTGTAATGTAAGATACTTATGCCTAGTTGTCTGAAAATCTTCGTACTAGCTGTACCTTATCAAGGGAGAAACATCAAAATCCTTTCATTGGCTCTCATCAGCATGGAAGGTATTTTTTTGTGAGTTGGTGTGCTGACATTAAACCTTAAGAAACAGCATGCATTTTGTCACAATATATCATTTCTTCCCTTCTGAAGATCAGTGTGTTTCTGGTTATTCTTGCAGCAAATGAAACTGATTTTCATTCCAACAAATGTTTTATGCATAGCTTCATTATCTCTCCCTTAATAAGGGAATAAAATCTCTGGGTCTTACATGGGTTCTGCTTCCTTTATTACAAGGACAGATGTTTTTACATGTTGTTTTTCTAACACGGATACAAATAACAAAATTGTAACGATCCGAAGTTCATACTGTGGACAATTGTATGCATACGGTCAGTAAAGGATTTGGCTGAAAAATACTGGTACCTTACCATGCACATCAGCAACTGTTGTGCATGTAAAGACAGTGTTCCTTACCTTAATGACAGAATTTGAATCTTGGTAAGTGAACATCAAGCTGAGAAATGAATGTCAGCTTAAACAAGGATCATATTTTTCTGATCTACCACAGTTAGCAGGCCTAGAACTAATATTTACTGTTTATTGTAAAGTGGAAGGTGAAATTCAGTTACAGATTGTGAAATGGAAGTTGTCTGATGCAACTTCTGTTGAGTGTTTACTACACTATTTGATTTACCAGGTGCTGTAGGAATGAATTCTAAAACTTCTTTATCAAGCTTTGTCTTTTGCTCCACTTACTGTTCTGAACTTAGAAGACTGGCATTCAGTTCACCACCTTAGAACAAGTTCTCAGGTCTTTGTTATACTTTTGCAATTTTGTATTTAGAAACTGACATCATTTGAACTGTTCCTAATTTAAATGTGATAAAAATAAACCCTTCTATATTTTTTTTAAATCAATCTCGTCATTTCTGGTTTAAAAACTTATGAATCTCATCTTTAGTTTCAGGCTATCATTGGAAACCATGGCTTAAAAACAAACTTTGAGGATAGATTACATCATCATGTTGGCATCTGTTATTCCTTAAAGGAATATTTCAGGATAGAAGAATCTACCTGAAAAAAATGTAAATTACACAAATGCTGAAGTTTATGTCACAGGAGAATGAAGGGTTTCTTGGTGGTAATTCAGGCTAGCTAAGAGACAGTAGCAATATACTTAGAAATTATACATATATTTTTAATATTAATATATATATGGTATGCATTATATGTGTAATATACTTAGAAATATACATAAGAATGAAGTGTATTTTCAGTAAAGAAAGTGTTGTGTTTTTTTCTTTTTGTTTTCCCTAACTTTCCCTAGAATCATAGAATCATTAAGGTTGGAAAAGACCTCCAAGATTACCTGGTCCAACCATCCTACTACCAATGTCACCCACAAAACCATGTCCTAAGCACCATGTCCAAACTTTCCTTAAACACCCCCGGGGACAGTGACTCCACCATCTCCCTGGGCAACCCATTCCAATTCCTGACTACTCCTTCTGAGAAGAAATGTCTCCTCATTTCCAACCTAAACTTCCCCTGGCACAACTTAAGACCATTCCCTTGTGTCCTATCACTAGCTATCTGCAAAAAGAGGCCAGCCCACAGCTCCCAACTCCTTCATTCCCCGGTTGAAGCTACCTTCATTTCAGGTAGCTGTAGAGAGCCATAAGGTCTCCTCTGAGCCTTCTCTTCTCCACACTAAACATCCCCAGTACAATCAGCTGCTCCCCATAGGACTTGTGTTCCAGGCCCTTCACCAGCTCCGTAGCCCTGCTCTGGACATGCTCCAGGGCCTCGATGTCCTTCTGGCAGTGAGGGGCCCAAAGCTGAACACAGCACTCGAGGTGCGGCCTCACCAGAGCAGAGTACAGGGGGACGATCACCTCCCTGGACCTGCTGGCTGCACCATTCCTGACACAAGCCAGGATGCCGTTGGCCTTCTCGGCCACCTGGGCACACTGACGGCTCGTGTTCAGGTGAGCTTCGATTAACACCCCCAGATCCCTTTTCTCTGCAGAGCTTTCCAGCAACTCTGCCCAAAGCCTGTAGCACTGCATGGGGTTGTTGTGGCCAAAGTGTAGGACTTGGCACATAGCCAAGTTGAACCTCATCCCATTGGTTCTGTCCATTGACCCATCTTATCCAGGTCCCTCTGCAGGGACTTCCTACCCTCCAGCAGAGCAACCTAATGATGTAATATACACATAATTTTATTTAAACTAAGGAAAAAAATCTTTCTTTGCCTGATGCAATTTACACGTCCTGATTTGATGGCTGTAGGGCACATGTGCAAATTCTCTCTAACTTAAACTACTATTTTCTGCATCCTATACTACTTAAATAAGACATTTTTATGTTATTTCATCACAGTGCCTTCATGTCGTTGTTTCATTCAGTTTTATCTGAATAAATGCTCTTAGATTAAGGAGTTTGAAGCTTAGATATATTAAAGCTAATGTAATGATCTTTATACTTTGGATCAACAAGCTGGTCCTAAGTTTACCCTGCTCAATGTGAAGGTGTAGTCCATCTATAACGCTGTGGTTCCTCTTTTTTCAACTCAAATATGAAAGATTTGGAGTGGCTGTGGGATGCTGACTAGCAGAAATGAAATAGTAGCCGTGCAATCTGCTTTTGCATTTTGAAACAGTATTTTACACTTTAAAATGGTGCTTTGAACCAACAACTCTCTTCCAGACACTTTCTTTTCTTTGGTAGTTACCTGAGTTTGTTCATGCAGACACAAAATATTTTTTTCAAAGACTCACTACTTATGAAAGCTGAATATTTTGTTTATATTAACAAATAGACAGTGTTTATGGTTTTGAGTTGTTTTAAAATGTGTTAGAAACCCATTGTTTTAACAGCTATTTAAAATCCTTCCTGTTATGTTACTTGCGTTTAATGTGGAGTAATAAGTTCTAAGGCCTCATGGAAAAATGCAAGCATATTTTAAGTCTTTGTAACAAAAGGTACAGAAATATGATGCATACAAGTGCATAACAGTTTTGGTTGACTCACTCTGAAGTTAGTAGTTAGTTCAGGTGGATCTGATTATCGTTTGTCTGACTTGTGAAAAGGCTTTCCTAGGAGGCAGAGTAAATGAAGTTGAGGATTATAAAAATTATGACAGACAAAGACCCAAGAAACAATCATCTTAAGAGAAAGCTTAAACTGAAATTTAAATCATTTGCGTAACAGTAAGTGACAACCATATGAGGGTGATAAAAATAAACAAACGCACAACTTCAGGGGAATTTAACCTATATGTATGAGAATTATATTTGAGCTCTACTAGATTAAACTAAAATCTTATTCAAAAGACATGTGTGACTAAGAATCATGACTTTAACTTCAGCATATGTATACTAAAATTTGGATCACAGCACTATAATGTTTATTGCCAGTTTGAGACTGGTATTTTCAAGAACACTTTTCCCACATTTTTCACTTGTCATAACTGAACAATTATAATTACTATGGGGTAGACAGGATTCTTTTCAAAACACCCCTTTAGGTAAATGTCACCTGAAAGGTTGCTTTCTATAGGAAATCTCATGGATTTTAGGTATCTAGATAATATTTTCACTAATATTTAGTCTCTATTTATGTAGCAATATAGTATATGTATATATAAGGCAGTATATTGTTTTCCCACAGTCAACAAGTTTGATTTGATACACGCATCTATGCATAAACTAGTGTTCACAAGGGGTTGGTCTTGAATTAAGAATATATTTTAGTAATTAGTAGAAAAGTTTGACACAAAGGGGGTAAAGATGAATCTGAGCCATTATGACTTGTAGTTTTATACTGTACTTTGTTATCCTCTTTAGTTCCTCCAATATTATGCTGCATGAGATTTTATAGTAGATTTTATTTCATTCATTCAGCTGTTTAACCATCCCCAAACGTCTGTGTATATGCATTTGTCTTGTTTGGTCCTTATAGAAGATGACATTTCTTTCTTTCTTCACTAATTCTCTGTCTGCTCCTCATTATATCCAAGCTGTCAAGAGGAAAACGGGGAAAAAGCAGTTTTTTGTATATTTGATGGAAATGTTTTGCCAGTTTACTCTTCAAATATATGCATGCAACATGCATATTAGGATAACAAAGAAATAAGAGATTCTATTTATAGGGATATGTAAACAAATATATTTGATATGTAGATACAACTACTACAAATTTATTCCCTCTTATTTTGACATGCTGCATTTATGGACTTTATAGAAAACTTTAAAAGTGAGAGGGAAATTTATTATGGAAATAGAAATCATCTCTGTGTAGCTGTCAGCTATCATATAAATATCAAGGGTTTGATTTATAGCTTTTTCAACCTACAAAACAGAAAAACTAGCAATTTTTCCATAGCTACAGAACATTAATACAACATACCAGTTTGGCTGCTCCATGAAAAGTGTTCAGAAATGATGGTAAACTTGTTAAAGGAATTTCAGCAAGTTCTTATTTCTCATCTTACCATCAGAGTATTTATTTTTGTTACCCTCCTTTCCCTGGCTTGGTGGTAAAATAAAATTGAAACAAAAATTTTTGGACTCATTCTCTGCCCAATACAGTGTTTTGTTTTTCATTTCAGCAAGTAGCAAATCATTCTATTTGCTGAGAAAGCAATACAGCTGAAACATTTTATGGAAGTGTTGTGCTTGGTATTTCAGAAGTCACAAATTTTCTCCAAAATGCTACTAAATTATAAACGTAAATTTATTTTGTTTAACCATATATGTTTCCTTATTCAGAAGAGGAACCTGCTCCAAATAGTGTTGTTGAAGAATACCTTCAGGAGAAGAGAAAATATGAAGACAAGCGGAAGCAGCAGCCAAAGAAAGGCGTTTCTCGTGAAGATCAGGTAATTGTTTGAAAAACTAGGGAAAAATATTCCAGAAAGAGTTCTGAAAACTATTATTTCTTCACTTGTGTAAAAATGAAGATTAAAAATCCCATGTTTCTTTTTCTATAAAAAGAATCTGTCTATTCCCAAACAATAATAAGTATACCTGTGTGAGTGTGTACTCTGATCACCTATAGATTACCCAGATACACTGATAAACGAAGTTTTTATGTATTTTTGAAAGTATAATCAGTTTAGTCACTAAAATATTCCAGAAGGAAAAGCTACCCACACAGAGGTATCTTTCGTGATGTTTACGAGAATTTGCATTTCTCTACAATGCTTTCCTTGGCACTGTAGCTTGCTGTAAGATAGGACTGGGACAGAAGTTTGCTTATTTGGCATCTCTCCAAAGTGCTGTTTTTTTTACAGTTTAGATAATGTTTTAGAGATCAAATTCATCCATCACATTAGGCATTTTGAAATGAAAAAAAAAAAAGTTTTTAACTGAACTATAAAAAGAAAACCATTTTTAAATATAATTAAAAATATTTTGCAGTCAACATGTATATAGACTTCAGTATGCAAATGTAATCAACTTAAAGTTTGACATAAATATTTATTTTTCTAAAATAGACAAGTTTGAAACAGTTAAATATATGAAACTACCTCTGAAGATTTTATATTAATGTAAAATCTATGTGGTGCGTCAAATGCATGGGTCTTTAAGTGTATGTCAATTCAGTTACAAAGATGTTCGTATTCAATTGTTGAAGCCAGAGAGATTGGAAACTTGAGGCTTAAAAACTTCAAAGTGGCGGCTGGCAAATCTTTATATTTGCAGCAAGCTGATTTAGCTTAAAACTAAGAACTTTGTGGAAACTTTGTACATTTAGAAGTCTGTTCACTCTGAATTAAAGAGTACTAAAGATCGGTTGGCAAAGTGGATCAAGGAATTTAAAACCACTTCTAGTGAATTTGGATCAGCTCTGTCCTGGACATCCTAGGAAAACAAGATAAGTTGACAAGATATTTTAGTCATCTTAATTTTTATTTACGTAGCCTCGTTAGAAACTATTCATCAATAATCAGTCATCTGGTCATCAACATCATTGACCCTTCAATAATTAATAATCAAGTTCTTTGTATGCCATTTAATTTGTGGTGGGCCTCTTCTAGCCTTGCAAACCTCCTACCTGGTCCTACAATACAGTTCTATCTTCTGTCCTCTGTACAAGAGTAGGAGAAGATAGGGAAAGTATGTGTCTCTTTAGAATACCAGACATTGCACATCCTGACCTTATAATTTTGCAAGGGTCAATTTATGAAGTTACATGATCCACCTTATGGCATCTAATCATTCACTGCAAAAAATGCCTTCTAAGACACTTTGAAATTATTTTTATTGACAGGTCTACTTACAAAAATGCTGGCACCAGAGTAAATTAGGCAAGACACAAGGAATGTGGTTTTGATTGGTCACAATTTCATGTAAAAAGGGTTAGTTTGTTTTCATCTGATGGCCTGAGCAGAGATTTGCTCTTTCAGATGTTGTAAGCATTTGTCTGCAGTAACGTGTAAAACTGCAGAACTTGAATGATTCACAGACTCAAGTATTCTATAAATTTTCCTCTCTCCCATCTTAAACAGAAGATTAAACAGAAAATAAAGAAAACAAATGCAAACAAAAAAAATCCAAAACCTGCCTTTGGCAGTGTTAAAATGTGTTTTTGAAAGAATTCAAAAGCCAGGAAATTCCTAAAGTTAAGATTGCTCCCAGAAGGAAATTTGATTCCAGTGAACACTTCTGGTATTTCCTATTTCTGTTTTCTATTCTTTTTTAGTTTTTATTCTTTTAAATTTGAAAAACTTGACCAAACAAAACTAAATAGCCATACAGAGGTGTTTTACAACATAGGTGGCCAACCTATCACCTACAGATCAAATGTAGTTTACCACATAAATTCAGTCAAGCACTTATTCCCTGACGCTTTCCTTTCCAGGAATGTCTCAAATATCAGCAAGAAATAAGCTGCGGGTTGTGCAAATTATTCTTATGGTCTGCCCTTTTTATGAAGAGCCCTGTGACCCCTCTACCACTGCAAAGCTTAGGCATACAATTCTTGTGTAATCGACATCTCTCAAGTGATCAGAAACAAGACCTGTGATACGATCTTCAGATGTCACCTGAACGTCAGTGACATTTTGTAGCTGAAAGACTGGGCAATGTCAGCTGGAGAATAAAATACCAAATATAAATCAATATGAGCTTAATGTATGTAGCATAAGGATCTGTATCTGTAGAAGAAGTTAAGGTGGTTCATTGTATTCAAGTCTAAAGCTTTGAATTTTTTTTATGTCAGTACAAAATTAAAAAGATCAGCAATGTAAAAGTATGTAAGTATCGGCCAAGCTAGGTCTTCAATACGTAAGTCATCTGTAATTTATGCAATGTTTTGCTTTACTAGATTAAAATGGCAGGTTCAAGCAGTAAAATTTGTTGTCAGTGGTTAGTGTTGTTTAATCAGAGGTTTGTATTCTGTAAGTATAACCACAATATTTTTTTTCCTTAAATATGCATGTTTATTTCATTAGATGGCCATACAAGTGCTCTCAAATATGTATCCCCAGCACTGCACACTCTCTCACCGTTGGTGCTCTCACTTGTGGTGTCTCTGACTCTCTCGCTTGTCTCTGTCTGCAGTGTTTGTTTTCAGTTCATAGAACAGTTCTTTCTTCCATCTTATTGTACTGTGTCTCAAAATGATAATAGTTTGAATATGTTTTATATACCTATTGTTATTTATAGATCTATGTAACTTCCTTAAAACCATGTATTTAATTTCAGACACTGGCACTGTTGGACCGGTTCAAATCAAAGTTAACCCAGGCAATTGAAGAAACTCCTGAAAATGAGATTTCTGAACCTGAAGTAGATAATGATGAAGGCTGGTAAGTTTTACAGATTTGGATTTCTGTGTTTATTACTGGTCGGATCTGAGTTAGGAATAATCACACACTTCGTTTTTCAATTGTTTTACAAACCAGTCTCTTTTTTTGATTTAATGAATCCTTCTTCTTTCATATCCCTCTCATTTTACTTTTTAGTGGCACATTTAGTTACTTGTTTCTTTGCCTTATTTCTTCTTCATTACATCATTATGAGGAAAGAAGATAGCATGCTTTCTGTGCCAGTTATCTCCAGCAGGAATGAGTTATGAAGGGAGTTAGCACCACCTTTGAATTTACTCAGTTTATCACCTCTAGCTAAACTTCTCTATGTGTTTTGAAACCCTACTGCACTAGCATGGTCTTACTGTTAAGCCTAAATTTAAGGAGTAGCGGAAACACCAGATGTGTTTCTGCATCAAAGAGTTGATGCATCAGGAGTCAGCTAAAACATACTGGTTTAGTACTCTGGAAAATAATGCAGTACAGTAGGAAACGTTTTGCCTTGTAGTCTTAAGTCCTAGAAAAACTGTGGAGTGGTAAGTATTTTAAAGACTGATGGATAAGATAGACTCACCTGAAATGGAGGGTGACCCCAACAAAGCAGGGTAGCAGTGGAGTTGATAAAGTGCTGCAGAAGTTGTGACCTCCACAGTCAAAGAAGCAACCTGTACCATGTTTAGTAATGTTAATCTTTCATCCGAAGAACCCACATTAAGTAGGGAATGGGAAAAATCCTTATGATTTCAATTGTGATCCTGCAATCTTAGACAGGAAGCTTTTCAATGATAATAAAAAATGCTTTCATGGAATAGCTATAAAGAAGGTTTTTTTTAGAAAATGTTTTATACAAACTGGTCATGTTTTTTGTAAGGCTGGCAATACAGTTGGTCCAATATAATATCTCTGCCTACAACATTTTCCTTAGTTGTACACATAAGCTATCACAGCCACAACAGAACTACCACTAAAATAGAAAATTGAACAACGATCCTGAGTGTTTTAAAACACCCAGAATTTCTATATCTCAAATAACTTGAAATGAGTAAGTGAAAATATGTCATATGTCCCTTTATAATCTTCGTAAAGCTTCCCATCTTGGGAATATAGGAAACCAATCAGATACCTACATCTTCCAAACCCCAAACTAGTACCAGTAACTAGAAAAAAAAATGAATTACAGTAAGACAAACTAAAATGTACAAAGATGTTCTAAAGTACATTAGAAATCCTTTTTAAATAGGAAATAAATGATATAACTAATTGTTATTAAAGGACCCTATGTGTTTGAGAAGACTTACACAAAGCAGAAAGATAAGCATGCTAATGAAGTGCTTTTTAAGCATTGGGAGGAAATGCAGACCGTCTAAATAAATTAGATTTACTTCCATTTTGTGAATGAAAAAGATGTGCATACTGATCTGAGAAAAGACAACATAAAAAAGAGTGGGAGGGAATATAATGTATGGGAGGCAAAATGGTTTGGTTTTGTTTTGTTTTTACATTTTATTTCATTTTTTTTGTTTCACGTGTTAATAAATGAAAAGAAATTTTTCATCTGGAAGTAACAGGTCAAATTACAATCACCTATAATATAAAAATGGTAATTTTTATACATTAAATCAGAAAATCTTAGACTATTTGTTTGAAGATACATTCCAAAGAAATTTAACAGAGAAAAAAAAAAAAAGACGGTAGGTAATAAAAAGCTGAATTGCAAATTATGAGGCCTAAATGGTCTCATAATGGATGATACTAAAATTTTAGATAACTCAGCTCACTTCTTCATTTTTATTTCTATCATATGAATGAATCATTGCTTATTTTTAATTTAGTAAGATAAAGCTACACAGATTCTGCAGCTTTACAGTCACACCTTCTTGCTTTTCACTGAGTAGAGCTGAGACCTCACAGGGGAAATACTAGGATTTTATTTTTTTCAGAAGACTTTAGACATTTACTAGCAGAAACACTAAAACTAGTAGTACAGCACTTAGCATAGAATTCTTGCAGTCATAAAACAACATATTTACATATGTAGTGCATAGTGAGTACAATACTATCTTGATATTTTTCTCAGTGAAATTTCATTTGAGTTACTGCATAGGTTATTAAAAATCCTGTTATTCTTTCAAAGCAATAGCTATTCAAACATCAGCAGCAATCTTTTTTGCTTTTTATTTCATTGATTATATTTTTTTCTTATATTCTTTTTTTTTCAAAGAAGAACCAAGAATTTCTCTTAGCTTTATAATCTAAACAGAACTACTGAAGAGGTAGTTTAAAAATTCGGACTCTTTTTCTTAAATTTTCTTTCTTCTTTTAATGTCAACTCTTCTGTCTGGAACGAAAAGAAGAAATACAACCTTGCTTTATTTGCTTTTATTCATTGGCAATTTTAACAGGTAAAGCAGAAAAAAAAAATGCTTTGGTTTCTTGTTTTTGAAAATAGAGAAATTAATTTTCCAAATCTTGCCCCTTTCAGGATAAGTTTCATTACCGCTTGTTACTTTAAGTTTCTCTTGTCATCTTCTATTTGGTAAATTCTTTAAATTACATAATCTTCCTTCAGTATGTCTTTTCTATCTTGGGCATTATGCAGCTCTTTGAGGATGAGGTATAACATATGGCATAAATTTTTTGTCCCTTGGACTTCAGGATTTCACTAATACTTTGAGATTCTTCAGACATACCAATGTGCTTTTAAATTCTACAGAAAGTATGCAGCCTTTCCTTTACCTCTGAACACCTGAACAACTGATCTTTCTTTTCACAGTAATATAACCAGTCATTTAAGGACTTGCAAAGTCTAATCATCATTGTTTGTGTTCCCGTCTGAGTAACTTCTGACATCTAATTGGTGATAATGCTTCTCCCTGTTGGCAATTTAAACTGAAGGATTGTTGTAATTTCAGATTATCAAATTGTGTGTTGGTTTTTTTTTTGTTCAGAAAATAACGTTGCATTCAAAATGGCACTATAATGAAAATTTAGAATAATATGATGCTAAGCAATAGACTTATAATTAACATCATATTATTAGGCTTGCAGTTTGGTAAATTATAGACGAGTCTTGTTCCATTTTCAAAGAATTTACTTCGAAGATAAATAAGTTGTAAAATATTTTTATTTCACAAATTGGCTAGATCCACATACAACATTAGCAAAGCAATGAAGTCTTCTAAAAGGTATTCATGACTGTGTGAATGGCTTGGAGAGTTGAATTTCGTATTTTGGGATAAAGACTTACTGTTTTCATTTCTTCATTGGATTGGATGAATTGAGATAAGTATAGTGACTTCACATTAAAAAAAAATCTTAATTTCAATATACTCCTCCAAACATGATAATTCTACTCAAAAACAATAATAGTACTTTATAAGATTCATTGTAAATATAATTAGTGTATGGCATACACATATATGATATGCACAAATTATGTGATTCCTCCAGGCTATTTTGTAGATCATGGCTGCTCTTTTTATGGGAAGTGAAAGCCAGCCACTATGCTTCATTCTACTGTCAGGGTGTGTTATCTGAGGTAGAATGATTGCCTCTAAGACATTTTTATGTGTCCACAGGAGTGGCCACACATTGAGGTATAATTTTCATTTTCTGTCAAGATAGAAACCATTACCAATTTGTTATGTTTTCTTTTATTTGGCAAACTTTTCTCTGCATATTTGGCTGAGCTGCTGTATTGGCATGAAGCATAGCAGACGTTTGGGTACTTTTCAGCAGCATTCTACTTTTTATGCAGGAAAAAAAGAAGAAAGAAATATGACTCTATTGTAAACAGTGTGTATGGTGTTTGATAATTATTACCAGATTTTACTGTCTAAGAAGGCATCTGAGGAAGTGTAGTGAAGAGATCTGAAGAGAAATGAATAATACTAAGTTTTAACATGAAATAGCAGGATCTTTGCTGGGATTGCAAACTCTGATGCTAAGTGAGAATGACTATATGTATATGTCTGCGGCAAACAAAACTTAATTTCACCTGCAGAAATCAAAAATATTGAAATAAACATGTTGTGTACTGCCAGAAAGGGTGCTCGTAACAATAAAAGTATCTCCAAAGAAGTAGACATACATTTTTGTGGCATCTAGGTACATCAAGAAAATATGCTGATCATCCTGGTGCACACATTGTTGTCCTTGCAGCTCCATGTGAAGAACTATTGCTTAAGCTTTTTTTAAGATTTTCCGGACTACTTTAGTACTATTTCATCATTATTTTGTATTTATGTACTCTTAGTCCATCTAAGAAAACATCAGATGTAGGACTTCATCCTTTACTTTCACAAAGGTTGTGCAGAGTGCAGCAGAGGTAGTTTTGACAGAACATGGTTACTCATTCTGAGCTGGAAGTCTTACCCGGGACTTCACATGACAGACTTCTCCCCAAAATTTAGTGAGGTGTCTTCTGCTTGGAGACTGAAAACTAAACGTGTGACAGCAAAAGACCCATCTGGAAGTACTGTCTACTTGGTACTTCCACTCTAGATTACTGGATATGCCTGAATTTGGAAGTGAAAACACTGCACAGGTTACACTTTATAAAAAACACTGCTACTCATCTTCTTTAGCATTTGGACTTCTACATATATTTTATTGCATACATCTGGCACCTAGTCAGGTTGTAGTGCCACTTTGGGACCATGATTATAACATCAAATAGTTACACCTTTAGTAAAAACCAAGTTTCAGTCCAAAAAATATTATGGCAACTGTATATAATGAAATTGTTGATGCAGATCCTGTGAACATGACATAAAATATCTTCCATAGAGATAATCCAGCTGTGAGGATAAAAAAATCCAATGCAGTCAAGTATATTCAAGGATTGACTGCTTTAGTCGATTTAGGCAAAATCTTCCTCTTCAGATAGGATAAAAATGATATTTAGAACTCTGAATTATTTTCCTATTAAGTAATTCTCCACTTAAAAATACATATAGTAACCGTATCCTAATCCATCTATGCATCCAGGAATAAATACT